CTCAGACATGGGATGTCCTCAATTTCTTTTCGTAGCCTTGGTAGTTTGCCGGAAGTGATTGCCAGCAGTACTGACATGCCATCTGTTAGGATATATGTGCAAATTAAATATTTGCTACTTTTCCCCCAGGAATCTTACGACATGTATCTCAAGGTGAGCGACATTCTTCCTGTGAGAGAGATCAGCTTCTCAAACATCAGAACAGTGACTCGCCAAGATCTCTGGAATATTTTCAATGACGAGGGGATATGTCAAACGTTCTTTCCCCGCGGAAGAGTTCCTTCTTTTTGGGTTCCTTTTAGGCCGGTCGAAGATAACCTAAAACATCTTATAAACTGCAGAACCCATATATTTTTGTCGTGCAAATCTCACTCGAAGTTCGATCCCAATTCGAAACCACCGGAAACGATATATACATCAGATATTTCTATGATGTCCCTTCTGTTTTGCTACACAACCGAATCGGGCTTTGCTTACAACACTGACCTTCACGGCCAAGACTTCAGTGATCTGGAATCTCATCTTAGATTTCATCTACACCGACTTCAGAATGCAGGGCACGAAAGTGTCCGCTGGACGATAATGTTTGACTCCAGTCACAAAGATTTCATTGAGGAAAGGATACGGCAGTGTCTCAAGGAGTATGGCGTCTCTCTCACTCAAAAAGTAAAATTCAAGCAATATGTGTATTTCGAGAAAACGTTGTAGCTCGAAACCTAATAATAGTAATATAATTGAATTTATATAGCGTATATCCACGCTTTACAGCATACCCAGTGCGTTTTACAGCGATGATTTCATAATGTAACGGGCATGAGTTGGCCTACACAATATGAGAGTATGACTTCAACAACGTTTTTAAAGATATTTTTGTAGGTACTGTTGAAATGTACTCTTGGAATATATCTCTTATAGTGCAATGTGTATTCGCATTAAGTGAATGTGTGTGTATGTGTGTGTGTGTATGTGTGTGTGTGTGTGTGTGTGTGTGTGTGTGTGTGTGTGTGTGTGTGTGT